CCATTAGGATTTTCGATAGAACTCTGCGGGGGCTACCGGGAACTCTCAACAGAACTGCCGGAACTGTTCAAAAATTTTTTCTTATAAGACAAAATCTGACACCTAAAATCGCCCAGAACTTTTTTCCCTTTAATCACACAGACTTTTGCCATTGTGATTTTCGATAGAACTCTGCAGGGGCTATCGGGAACTCTCAACAAAACTGCCGGAACTGGTCAAAAATTTTTTCCAAGATTTTAGGTGTCAGTTTCTGTTTTATAAGACCCGAAAATTTTTTGAACAGTTCTGGCAGTTCTGTTGAGAGTTTCCGGTAGCCCCCGCAGAGTTCTATCGAAAATCGTAATGGCAAAGGTCTGTGTGATTAAATGGGAAAAAGTTCTGGGCGATTTCAGGTGTCAGTTTTTGTCTTATAAGACTCGAAAAAATTTTTGAACAGTTCCGGCAGTTCTGTTGAGAGTTCCCGGTAGCCCCCGCAGAGTTCTATCGAAAATCATAATGGCAAAAGTCTGTGTGATTAATACTTTTATAGTTATGCCTATTTCTGGGGTACTGTTTCTTGATTCTTCAACTTCGTTTTTTTTTACTTTCTCGTGCAGAACTATTGTTAAAATGTATCAAGAACTCTAGAACTATGCGAAATCTATCCAGAACTCCATTAAAAAATTAGATTTTACGAAAATGGGGGGCTGCGTGAAGTTAGCCCCCATTTTTAAAAATTTATTTTAACGTCTTTAATGGGCAGAACTATTTCTAAAACCCATCAAGAACTCTGGAACTATTGTAAATCTATAGGGAACTCGTAAAAAAGTTAAATTTTTAAATAATGGGGGGGCTAATTTCACACGGGTGTCAATCACGACATTTAGTTTATAAGGCAGCACACAAGTCGTACGTAACTGCAATGAGGGAAATAGAGGATAAGCACGCTTGGTACATCTTTTCCTCGTGTTAGATGATTTTATAAGAAAAATGCGGGGAAATCTGTGGACGCATGTCCGATGAGACTAGTTCGCAACAACGCAACTTATTGACGAAGACTTATTAGCGTATTTCTTCAATAACACGATATCCACTAACAAAGTACTTTCCAATGCTTGCCAAGTCTCACACACTGTTTTATTAGGCTTACACTCGATTCGAATGTTTCGTTTTCACATTTAAATAACTTCTCTAATGGCCATAAGAGGAAACTTTTTTTCATTTAATTTAATTGCAATTCTAGTCGAATTGCATTCAATAAGAAAAAGACGGGTAATAAAATTCTCAGGGACTATAAGATGGGACCATGTATTGCAAATAATAATAATAATAACAGATGTAATTCCATAACCTCGTATTTAACATACGTGTATGAATTGATTTCGCATTCAGGAACGGTTGCGAACGTGAGTAATGTTAAGCGTGATCCTATCAGAAAAATTTTTATAATGTGTGATTTCAGTTATTTCTCTCACTTTTCCTCATCATATTATCAAGTTCAACTTATCTAAGAAAATGTGAGGAAACGCGCGTATTTATTAAAAAACAATATTTATTAATACATGTATTGTAAAATATCTGTTCCGTCAAATAGTGGAACTGTGTTTTAAGACCAACAAGCAATCAGCGCGTAGTTTACTGAGTTTGAAATAACTAAATTAAAATTCACATAGTATTATTAGGCTTTGAAGAAACAGATCTATTAATTACTTGGGGGAAGGAGAATAAATAACCAATATGCACCCTTTATTCGTGTAGTATTACCATCAGCGTCTGTAAACATTGTTCAATCAATTAATTTATGGCATCAGCGACTTGGTCATGTCAGTAATAATGTGATATGAGCGATGGCAAGAAATAATCTCGTTGATGGTCTTCAAATAAATTCGACGAAAAAGGACGACTGTGACTCCTGCCACCTAGGGAAACAGACTATCAGCCCACATCCCACTCGAGATAGGCGTGAGTGTCTACCTGGTCAGCGCTTCCACTCGGACGTCTGTCATGTTGGAATAACATCTTGGAACAGGTGCAAGTATTTCTTGACATTGAAGGACGAAGCTTCTGGTTACCGTAGGGTGTACTTTATGAAATCGAAAGAAGAAGTATCTAGCATTCTAAAGGAGTTCTTCTTAGAAGCAGAAAAGGAAACTAGTAGAAAAGCGATTTCATTAAGAACCGATAATGGAACCGAGTATATCAATGATAGGGTAAAGGATGTTCTCAAGGAAATGAATATCACGCATGAGCTGTCACCACCCAATGTAAAGCAGTGCAATGGTATGGCTGAACGAGAAAATCGTACTTTATGTGACACTGCTCGGTCATTGCTGTTCAATACCGACATCTCAAAATCGGATCGTAATCTATTATGGACTGAAGCAATTGGAACGGCAGCATACTTGCGTAATCGTGTTCCAAATAGAGGGATGAATAGTACGACTCCGTATAGTCAATGGTAGGGAAAGAGACCTGATGTTACTCATCTGCGAGTTTTTGGAGCAAAAGCTTTGTGAGTATTCCTAAATCGATGAGACGCAAGATGGATCCCAAGGCAAGAAAGACGATTTTTATTGGATACGATCGCTACACTGACAGAGTATATCGAGTATTTGATCCTGAGAAGAAGATCGTAGAACGAGTTGCAGATGTTATAATTGAAGATGTAACAAATGCAGATAGTCAGGTTCTCTTTTCCTTACCATCTGAAGAGCTAGAGGAGGACCTTGAAAAACGGGTTACCGAAGAACTGCAAATCGAAGATAGTACAATTAGTACAGATTCTGATGACAACTTTGAAGATGCAGCAGAAGAAGTAGCTCAGCCTTCGCCATTAAAGAGGAGAGGACGACCGCCGGGGGCTAAGTCTTATCAAAAACCAGTTCCTCCAACAGATCGAGTATTGCGAGATAGAATGGATAAATCAGCCCATATTGCCTCAATAAGGGTAGCATTGGATCCTGTTTCATATCAGGATGCAATTTCAGGAAGAAATGATTCTGCTCGTTGGAAACAAGCAATGGATGATGAGATGTCGTCTCTTCAAATGAATCAAGCGTGGGAGCTCAGTACATTGCCAAAAGGACAACCTATGGTCTCATGTCGTTGGGTCTTCAAATCAAAGTTGCAACCGGATGGTACAATTAGACGTTACAAGGCGAGGTTAGTGGCTCGTGGCTTTAGTCAAACCCAAGGTTTAGATTATTTCGAGACGTTTTCGCCTGTAGTACGTTACGAATCAGTTAGAGGTGTTCTAGCTGTAGCTACCAAACATAATATGGAACTGGTGCAATTTGACATTAGGACAGCCTTCTTGAACAGCTCTTTGAAGGAAGAGATCTATATGCAGCAACCGGAAGGATACGAAGATGGATCGGAACGTGTCTGCCTCCTAAAGAAAGGTCTGTATGGGCTTAAACAAGCACCCAGAGATTGGAATAGTAAATTCAACAGATTTGCCAGTTCTCAGGGGCTTAAACAATCAGAATCAGATCCATGTGTCTTTGTAAAAGGTGCTGAAACAGATGATTGGATGATTCTGACTCTATATGTTGATGACGGACTTATAGCATGTAATCAAAAGGAAACACTGAATGCCTTTATTTCTGCATTGAAGGCAGAATTCGAGGCATCATGTCACGAACCTTCATGTTATGTTGGCATGGAAATAACTCGAAATCAGGAGTCTGGAACACTTTCTATGAATCAGCAAGGATACATTCGTCGTATGCTACATCGTTTTGGTATGGAAGATTGTAAGCCTGCGACATCTCCAATGGATTCTTCAGTCATCCTAGACATAGATGAACCCAACGGAAAGAAGAATGAAGAAAGACAGTTCCCTTATCGAGAAGCAATCGGGTGCTTAAACTATGTCGCTACCATATCAAGACCTGATATTTCATATGCTGTTGGAAAGCTTGCCAGATATTCGAATAATCCACAGGAGCTTCACTGGAAAGCAG